TAGTTCGTCTGTGTATTCGCTGATCTGATTTTTGCTGCTGTTTATCACCGCGACATCCTTGAGGTCTGATCTGACATAGGTAGTTGGACCATGGTTGGAGTCACAGGTATTAGCGATCATATTAAACCCAGCAATTTTGTATCCGACTGCTTTGCAGATCGATATACGTCTCTTGCAGAGTTGCGATGTCAATTTTGTTTTCTTTTAACTTCCTTGATAGATATTCGCATTTTGCGTTGGAAGTGCCTTCGACCCTCAGTTGAAACATGCTGAGCGTGTGGCCCACGGCTTCATTTCTTTAGCCCTCATAAAGACTGTTGGATTTCTTTACTCTTCTGTGACCCTCATAAGGATCGCTGGATTTCTACGCTCTTTTTCTATGGTCCTCATGAGGATCGTTTGGTTTGTTTGTTTTTCCTCTGTGACCCTCATAAGGGCCATTGGGTTTATTTCGAACTGGTTTACATGTTTGGTTCTGAGAAGAACCGTTAGATTTTTTGCTAGTCGAACCGAGAGATTGTTTTCGAAACGTTCGGCTGCCAGGTGACGACATTCGTTGTATTGTTAAGTTTTGGCGTACTTCCGCATTACGTAACAGGAGCACTACGTGAAGGTTGTCATCTTGTCCTCTGCTGTGACAGCTGTCAGCAAAAAAGCTTCGTTAAAGTTGTGGTTTGGAACAAAGAGTTGGAAACTCCAATCCGGTGAGAAAACGCGCGCATGGCGGCAGCGAAAGCAGTGGCAAATCAAAGGCATATGCATAGAAAATATTCCCTGGAGTCCTGGAGTTGAATTTTCATACGTCAGACAAGGTATTGTGGCAGATCATCCGCCGCCTCCTTGTCGTAAAGGAGGCAGTCTGAGAATCCTGAAGGACAAGGATGAGAATATAATGCAGCAAGGGTGAGAGAACTTTGCAGAATCCCTTTACCCTGAGCAACTGCTGGACTCGGCTGCAAAGCAGCCGGCTACTGATATTTTTCGTTGAGTAGAGGGTGTCCAGAACTGTGAAATACTTGAAAAGTGACAAGGCTGCCTGAGTCGGTGAAATCCGTCTTGCGATGCTTATTATGGTTTTAGGCAAACAACTCATAACATGTCTAGCAGATGTTTGTGAAACTGCGATGACTACGAGGAAGGACACAAGTGGACTGGAGGAATGGGATAGTATTACCCATGTTCCAGAAGGGTCACCATGCTGACTGTTCTGATTACCAGGGCATTGACATGTTGAGCCTCCACGGAAAGGTCTACGCAGTATTGTTAGAAAGGTGATGTCGCCGAATAGTTGATTGTAAGATCTTAGAAGATCGGTGTGACTTCAGGTCTGGTCGAAGCACCTCTTACCAGTTATTGACCTTACGCCATATTATCGAGACATCGTTGGCGTTTGCTCATCAAGTTTGCATGTGATTTGTTGGCGTGGCCCGTGGCCGAATTCCGCGCAACAAGCTGTGGGCGTGCCTGCAAACGCATGAGATCGACGGCCAGTTTTGAGAGCCATCCAGTAGTAAATCCAAGAGTAAATAGCGTTGAGAAAACCTTTCAACGTCGATGCTGGTCTCAGTCAACGCTGAATTTTTTCCTTTCTCCTGCTTGTGTTCACATCAGTAGGATAGTCATGGCCATGAATGTATCACCTTTGGAGATTCAGAGACGAGAAGGTTGCTGCTTGCGCGCTATCTTATTTCGTTCTCATCTTCCGAAAATGAGCTTTAGCGCTGACTAACACTGAATAAGAACGTTCGCAGCTGACCGGATCATGGCGGGGCATACGCGTGAGCGTTTGAAGCGACAAGCCAATGCTTTCTCACTCTCCTGCATGTTCCGTTTTGGAGATAAGGGAAGAAACTGTGGAACTTGCATACAAATTCACGTGCTTCTTGATCGTGTTTACTTGTGATGGAAAATGCGAGGAATAGATTTGCTGTCTAATTGGAACGGCCACTGGCGTTGTGCGTAAACTAGCCCGGACCGTTGTGACTATAGCGGAGCTTAGTCTGAAGACGTTGCGTTCTGTGTTCAAGTGAATTGGTCTCCTACGTTTATGAGTTGTGGGTCATAACTGAAAAAATTAAATCATGGGTGCAAGCGGCTGAAATTGGTTTTTCTGGGGTGAATCGCTGGGCTCGCTCGTCTCGACATGCTACACAGTGCAGATATCTGAGCCAGCGTTTGTGTATAGACGCTGCTTTTCCAAACAGAGAAGTCACAGCTTCGATATGATTTTTTGGCGTATCTTTCGAAAACCTCTAAAAATAACCACCAACCGAAAACCTAGTGGACTTTAACAAGTTTCTCGAAGTGCTCTGCTACATAGACAAGTTATCATGTGCCGACGTTTGATTGCTTTCACGGGATAAGGATAACTGGAGACACTGTCTGACGCATCTGCCTATGCTACTCGAAATGATAGGCGGTCTTAGAAACTGACTGACTGATACAATTAGGCGTAGTAAAACAACGTAAATATCCTAAAGTCCTAAAAGGCTTTTCAAATTCTCTCTTAGAGTATGTTGTACACAGGCCCGACTTACAAGAGATCCATCTAATGTCTGGAAGGAGATCGACTTGTTAACGTGCGATTTTTGGTTTCACGGAATAGTCATTGAGTTCCTGTCAATGTTAGCTGCTGTCAATGTTTTTGGGCTAGTTTATTTCGATTCAGTTAAATATTTCTGTTCGAATAAATAATTTAATGCTCAATTATCCATGAAGAGATAACTATGGGGTCATGTGCATTTTATGAATATTTGCATTTCAGGAGTGGTCGTTCGGTATGGTCGTTGTTCATTCCTGTCTCTTGCAGTGCAAAGATTTGGCTTGTTGATAGAGGCATATCGCTGAACGTCCCCAATTTGAAGTCACTCTATATCGCAGAGCGAAACTCAAAGTTAGCTTTATTCAGGATCACGTGTTCTGTTTTAGATGTTTCACTTCTAGGAAAAATAAATTAGGTGAACTTTTGCCAGAGGTGGATTACGAGTTCGAAGCGTTCGCGGAAACAAATGTGAAAGCGGTGAGTTTGTACGATCCTTTTCTGCTTTAACAACTCGTTTGCATGTGAATGCAAAGCCGGCATTGGAAAAATTTAAAAATTGCGTATATCGAAACTGTTGACGGCGATGGTGCGAACTGAAATGGAAGAAATGTAGCTTTAGTTAGGTGCGGGAAATTCGTCGTATATATTTTATCTTCTCGGTTGCTTACAATTCATTTTGACGAATAATTTCGTTTATCATCTTATATTTTGTCCATATTTGCTGTAGTGTAATTTCGCCACCTTCAGCAACCTGGGTTTTACAGTTTTGCGACACGTATGTACTTTCAGCCAACTTTGACTTTCCGCTTTCGAGGAATGAAGTGTGACGCATAAATTGCCTAACGTCGTCCACTTTCAGCGTCCATTAACAGCGAAGTTACGCTGGCTTCGAGCAGTGGACTCAGTGAAATCGTTTCAGTTTGTATTCTAGCGTAAACGAATCGACGTGGTTGTATTGATAAAGGAGTAGTCAGTTTAGAGCATGAAAGAGGGTAGAATGAGACGTAATGTAAATATAAATCAATTAAGTGTAAAACATCGCTATAAGCATTACTCTGTATCACCTGTCAAACATTGCTGTCAAACCAACCTGTCGCTCATGGTGATCTTTAAACTGGTCGGTTCAAACTGCTTTTATTAACTGGTAGTTAAGTTTAGCGCTAACGTATATTCAGTTGAATGCACATTTTAAGTCTAGGACGTACATGTAACTTACTTCATTAGACACATGCAGCGAATTTAAATCAGGCAATGATTTTCCCACTTCGATTGTTTTCATATGAGTACTTTAATAGAAACATCACCTACTTAAGTTTTAAATTAGTGAGAAAACTGCTTCCGTGCCTGTAGTGCTTAAAGAAGATTGCCAGAGATGGCGTTAGACCTAGTTGCTTAAACAGGGTAGACAGCAGTTCGCTAAGCGACATTACTTTAGGTGTACCGTGCGATTCAACGTGAAGTCAGAAAATACCGTAACGAAAAGCGAGGGCCAACAGTGATCATGTTCATGTCTCCAAACGGTATGTCTTCTGTTATAGATGTTTTAGGCCATCTTCCTTAATCGTCTGAATTTCAGATGCAAACTCCTTTGCCAGTCTGATGCCAAGTTTAGTCGACTTTCCTCTCATTAAGTTGCCGGTTGTCGAAAAGCATGCGTTTTCTTCCGTATACATGTTGTTAGCTTACCGTTGTTATTTAGGGACAATCTTTTCAACGTTTTGGACTGGCAGCGCGTTGCTTGCAAACGCATGATTGGGCACTGTTTAAATCTGCAGCTGTATTTTAAGGTCGATACCATATTTGTTTTCGCTTTCAACGAAATATTGTAAACCTGTTTTGCTTATTGACCGTTTAGTTTTTTAGTTTCTATGGGGTACTTTTTCCTTTATCAGGCAACTTAATAATAAGTGCTTAGCTCCACCAAGTTTGGTTTCTTAGAGGCTTTATGGTACCCCTCTTATTTGACATTGCTATGTGCTTGTTAGCATTCATTCAGTTCACAAAACCAATTTTATATGATAAAACATCGTTTTTTTAACACATGGATGTTAAAATAAAGTAAATAAATAGCCAATGAATTAAAATGATAATACTGTGAACCTCAGATGCAGAAGTTACTTACTACCTGTAGGCAGATCCGTATTTGTGATATTTTGAAGCTGTACTGTGCATATGTGCCACGTTTTTAATGTTTTACTTTGGCTCTTCTTACGGTTTTTTTTCAGACTTACCTCGAATTATGTCGATATTTGCACGTTCCGATCGGCAATATCCCAAATGATGCAACTTTGTTTGGTGCGGATTTGTTTTTCGCGCGGCATCTAATCCATCACGGTCATGTGTTGTGGTGTTCAAGCAGCGAACGTCCAGACCTTGGTGGCAAGGAAATGGATGATAGCCGGTAAGCAAGTTGTTGAATCCTGCTCCTTTGGGGCAACGCCATTGGCCTTCCGATGCCCATTTCTTTAATGTTCCGATGGCTATGGACGATCGGTCGATAGCTATGCTAAGTAGCATATGAACCGCGTGACTCTGACCTCATATATCAAGATGAGTTCTTTATATTCATTAAACTGCTTTGCAGGCACGATGTCATAAGTAATATTTCTAGTGCGTGTTGAGTCTCAACGATTAGATTTTGGAACTGACCTGAATTTCATCATCGTCTGTCCAATAGTAATTGGTCCCAATAATTCATCATGCTTGGGTTGTTTGCGGTGTTTCGTGATAAATGCTGGTGATGCCTCCTCCGGCATGTAGTTACGAGATCTAAACGAAAGATTGGGTTCACCGTGCGTAAAATTTCTCAAGAAACGATGGGTAAAATCTTTTCAGCACACTGTTTGCTCTTTGAGCGGAGAATGGCAAGTCTTTTTGCCTATTCATTTCTTTACAATACTCGTTATTTTTTTTACACCGCTGAAGTAGTTACTTAAGAAAATTTTCAAGGTTGCAAACTGGTCAGATGTTAAACATTTTTCCAGCGTTTGCTAATTATCATGTTGCTTTCTGCAATGGCGATTCATCTGGTCTGTTGTGGATTCCTGGCAACGTGCATCACCCGTTGCAGTTGCGATCACGCGATTTAGAGATTTTCTAACAAAGTTTTCTTGAATGGCCGTGGTCTGGTATTTGTCGAATCTCATCACGCCAGCAGTGTTCAAAGAAGTATCATTTCTGCCACATATCTATAACCCGCTCTTTTTTACACTCCAGCGTTCATGGCCATAAGGGTGCATGTATTGTCATATTTGCTATCGTGTCGCACTCATGATCACATCCTTGTTTAGCTTCACTTTTACCGTGCTCGCTTGACTAATTAATGTCTGTTTCTATGCCCTGCGTGCATTCATTCATAAATGTTGCTTCTGAGTTACTTAAACTTCTCTACCTCTCAGTTTCACTCCGCTCATCGCAGAGTACAGCGAGTGACTTTTATGTAGTGTAAGGAAACTTCAATTTGGGTAACTAATCTTCATTGTGGCCTGATTGCATGCAGCTACAAATCGTTGAAATGGATGTTGTGTAGTAAGCAAAAGAGGAAGGGACCTTAACAGGATCGTTCGCAAGCAAGAGGAGAACCGGTTGACCCACATATCCAACTGTGACGTTCTCAGTTCCTGTGGTGCATAAAGTTATTGAACCTTGAATTATGAGAAGTAGAATGGACAACACACATATTTACACCGTAAAGGTTTAAAAGATATTCGCAAGGAAGTTTTACGAAGTAGCGAAATCTAATGATATTAACCGTTTAGCTGTCATTGCAATGTTGCTATAATAGACTTGGTTATCTAATCAAAGTGAGCATGACAGTATCGGAAAGTTGATAAAGCTGTGTGATTGTGTTGTTTTGGTCAATACTTTGTATTTTTGGCGCTCAACTCTTTCGGCGGTGTGTAGCGTATAACTAATCAGTTTCTGCATTAACAGATTGGTTTCACATATCGGCGAGCCACAGGACATAAATATTTCCCATCCCAGTCTGTACTCGACTATTTCTGTGGAAATGTCCATCGCCAGTTTACCCGTTTGTTCGCTGTTGCAGGTAAAAGCTAATTTTTGAATTTCTCTATCAAGAAAGTTTAGTATATGATAGACGTGATGGAATCAGTTATGCTCGCTAGGTCAAAATTTTATTTAATGTTCAGAGTTAATATTCATTTTGTTGATTTTAGTTAGACTATACCACCAGAACAACCATACTGCGAAATTGATCCCGATGTATGCGTTTTATCTTACGAATAATAGCTCTCAAAAGCACTTTTAACAGCGCCAGTTTAGTCAAGGCTTTGATTAGTGTGCGACAAATCCTCTGTTGTGAATTTGTATGGAGGGCATACGTCACTTGCATGTTTCTTTTGACAGGCGTCTGTTGTGCGAATCAACTTCCTCCACATTTTCTGATCTCTGGTCAAATCTGCATTTTTTAAAAACATAGCGCCACATTTTCTCTAGCATTCCCGTTTTTTTCTGATCCAACAGTTTGAATGTTTGGATCATGTTTTTCCCATTTCTTTTGATTCCGTGGTCAAATCAGTAGAACCATACGTTTAGATTTATGCATTAAATGTTACTTACTTAAACAGTAAACCTATGCCAAAGGAAGTAACTTCACATTTGCGAATGGTTTATATTTTCGCCGTGCTGCCACGCCTACTAACTTTTTCATATCGCCAACATGTACTGTAGTCTCACCGAATCAGCGAACAAGAAGGAGTCAATGCGGCGACCTCTTTTGGATCATTCAATACGTTGAGCGTCGCTGACATGGTAGCGAATGAATTTCCAACAAGTGCCTGTGATTACGACGAAGTTTATCGATGTGCTAGTTCATTTAGGTACTTCTTGCCGTCAGTTTATGTTATGGTTTGCGTTTTCTTATTGCTTTCAGAATTTTAAAGTTAATGGTGTATAATTGGGTCAAGGATATCACATTGTACCAAAACGTTTTCGCCGACAATCAGATTATTCATTTTTACAGGTAAGTTTAACGATTTTTTTTCTGCGAAACTTAGTTTCTTCTCTCAAAGATGGCTCCGCAGTTCGAACGCGATATTGTATGAGCCAGCTCATAAAAAGAAACTTACAAATTTGATGAAGAAACTTTTTCTTTTGGTGAGTACTTTATCATTTGTTTACCTATCAGTACAAAATTTTCCCACTAGTAATTAGTCCTACTAGTAGTTCATCAATAATTATGAATTGGTACAAGAATTGAGCAGGTTGACAATTTCAAATAATGTAGGTATCTTTCATATTATAGATACTGACTAATGCTGTAGATCTTGACGAGAACCAGATCATTGAACTAACGAAATTGATGGACCCAGGTTAAGCGCGTGATTAAGGTCAGCTGTTAACAATGCAGTGCTACCCTACAGAATTTAGTCTAAGGAAACATCACAAAGTATAGGTGTAAAATCAAGTGTTCAAAAATATTTTCACGCTTCGCCGCAACATCTGCAGCTTGTATATGCTGTTCTAATGCATAGCGTTGATGATAGGTACAGCTAACGTTTTTGCTAGTCAGCTGCATTCGTGTTTTTCTTTTATCACGGTAGTTTAGTGATCGAATAATTTTGTACTCTTGTTCTGTTTAGCTGGTGGCCGAATTGAAATCTCTCGGTGCTGTCATCGTGTATGCTG